TATGTTACATAAAAAGACATCCCTGGTGTGAAAATATATTTATTTATCAATCAAATCAATCCAGCATCTGTTCACTATATTTTTTTAAAAAATCAATTAACAAGTAACCCAAAAGTAAAAATAATTTTCAAAGCCCCCTGTTAAATACAAACCATGTTATTATATTTAACATGCAGAAAATCTACAAATGGCTGCCAGTCTAAATTATGTAATCCATTGTTTCTAATCAATGCAGTTAATTTCTCCATCTCTGCCAGATGAGTCAAATTTATTCATGTATCTGAATAAATACATGATTTATGATTAATGAATTAGATAATTTGACAACAGTGGTTGTAAAATAAAATATCTGATGTTCACCAGGTTGTTCTAATGCAGAAACAAGGAAGATATATCCTTTCAAATGTTGCTAAACCACTAACTCCATAGCCAATGGTACTTTTATGACATGCTAGGAGTTATGATTCAACACTATTTGAAGGGTCAAAGTTGCTAACTTTTGTTCTATTCAAATGAAAGACAACCATATTGTATTTTTAATAAACACTCCCAAGTGTATACTAGCTTATTTCTATAAGAAATTGCAAAAAATAACTGCTTATACCAACTGCCTTTATCTTTCTCTAACTTGGTCTTCTATTGAAATGATAAATAAACTAATAATACAGAAATGATGAAAAGAAAATCCTACAGTTCTTTCTTGTTAAAAACCCCAAAGGATACCACTCCATATGATAGCAATATATTTGCTATTTGGGATATAAATAATTATAATAGCATTTCTGTTCTTCACAAAGGCAGCACATATACATATCACTCATCTGTTATTCACACTCACTGACCATTTTCCACTAATGTAACATATTAAGCAGAATTTACATTCTACAACAACTCTCAGTGACTAATTTCAGACTTACCAAATATAATTATAGAAATATTTTATTCTAACTGCTGTCCTTTTTATATGAAAGAATTTGCCCCCTTATTTGTCTCAGGTAGAAGGAACTGCAAGGTTACCAAAAAGAATTGGAGATTGTGCCCAAGGCCTAGAAGATAATATGAAAATTGTAGGAACAAGGAAAAACACATACCTTTGATTAAACAATCAGCTGCAAAAAGATCCCACTTGTATGTTACCTAAAAATATAGAGCAATAAATATATTAATCTATAATTGCAAACAGAACAGTGTCCAAAAAAAGCTATTTATATGTAAGTACCTCCAAGAATTTCTTAATCTTATTTTTCTAAAAGATTTAAGATAGATTTTGCAGCATTTAAAATCTACTGAGCATTAATTTTTGACACTTTACAAATACCTTGCAAAGTATGTATTTCATTTAATTATATTATTTATTACAATTTGTAATTAATAAAATAATTAAAATTCATTCAGTAACAGATACATATCTGAAATTATAATCATAATCATTATAATCACCATCAAATCAAGTATCTTTATTATATTTTTTATCAGTTTATGCAATAAAAAAAGGAATGCAATTTAATAATTTATTATCACTGGGTAAAAACAATCAAGACAGTAAAACAAATATCTAATTATGTAACTGCATACTTGGTGAAAAGTATCAGCTATCTAATATGTGACTTAACATCTCTTTAAAAGTAACAAATCTAGCATTTATTAGTATTATTTCAAATTTAGAGATAAAGAGATCATAACATGCCTTAGGATGGGGTGTCAAACTCAAGGTCCATGGGCCATCCTGGAATTTGTAAGGAGCTGGACTGCATCGCTTTGGCCTGGCCCACGGTATCTCGGCATGTGCACATATGCACAGGAGTCAGCAGGCGCACACACACACAGGCCTGGTCCACTCCATCCAGGCATATGCATGTGTGCACAGGGCCAGTGTTGCTTCATCCATCACTTTTGCTCCCACCATCTGTCTTTCCAGCCACTGACCTGTGATTCTTGAACTGCCCTGACTGCTTTGCTCCTGGCAACAGCAACCACTCCAGCTGAAGCCTCAGGGGTGCCCGGTGGCTGCAATCTCACTACCAGCACTGCTCCACCTGGGTGACAGGCCTACTTCTCCAGCTGCTGCCCTGCAATTTTCACACTCCCCCACCTGTTCTGTGGCCGGCAGTAGCAGCAGCCCCATCAAAGAGAGGGTGAGGTAGGGCATGCTGCAGCTGTTGGTGAGTCCCATGGCTATGGCTGGAGTGGCCGCCGCAGGTTTTATTTTTTATTTTTATTTTATTTGTCAATTGCTTACAAGATAATAGGTATAAGTAAAAACATAGTTATGAATACATGGATACATATCAGAAAAATTCAAAAAAATATAAAAGAAACAATAGGACAGGGACTGTAGGCACATTGGTGCACTTATGCACGCCCCCTACAGGCCTCTTAGGAAAGGGGTGAGGTCAATAGTAGACAGTCTAAGGTTAAAGTTTTGGGGGTTTGGGGAAGAAACCACAGAGTCAGGTAGAGTATTCCTGACATTGACCACTCTGTTGCTGAAGTTGTGTTTCCTGCAATCAAGTTAGATCAGACCAAAGGCGGTGTAGTTCTAGGTTTTCTACGTTTAGAATTTCGAGTCTGGTGGCATAAGGTATTCTGCAACGAGTAGCAAGCAGGGGAGTGCAAGAATTGTGTGGTACCAGCTGGAGAGATGGGCTGGCCACATAGGGGAGGGCTGGCATGGTGGGGGCAATGAGGAGGAGGCAGCCTTCAGGGAGCAAGTGCAGAGAGCATGAGAATCACCATGCAGTCACAGCAAGAGCAGGCATGGAGCAGGTTGGGAAGCGTGAGAATCACCGTGCAGTAGCAGGAGAGAAGGGCTGGCCACCCAAGTGGAGGGCTGGTGAGAAGGGACAGAAGCAGAGGCAGCAGGCCAGTACTGTCAAAAATTACATGAATCCTCACATTAGAAGCCAGGACCAGACCTAGGTATTAATACTTAACACATTAACAATCTTCAAGACTGCATTATTGGATGCATTCTAGGCTACTGAACAAAATCCTAGGAAATTCAACTGAAGGTTCATGTGAGATTTATATATGAGGCAAGATGTATTCCATTTAACTACAGTTCAATTTGCTTTTGGAATGTAATTTACATATCAAATTTAGTTATATGTTTGTGTTTTCTGTTGGGTAGCTGAAGTGGTATAATTTGCCTATGCTAGTAATATCTGGTAATATGATCTACAAGTGTTTAGGTTTTCTAACTGTTCAACTTTTTTTTCTTTAATAGAAAGGCAAAATAAAATAAATTCAATATAAATTTAAAAAATAGGACAATTAATATACAGTACTCTCCGTGGACTGGTGGCTTCAAAAGTTTGTGCTAGTAATCCTTGTAATATAATATTCAACCTAAATACCTTAACAAGAATGAAAAAGTACACCTGCCATTCTTGCTTTTTCCTCATGCCAGTCAAACCTGAGAGGCACAATGTATGATAAAGAGACAAGGTTAGTGCTTGATTAATTTCCTTCTTTTGCCACCAAATGTTGATGCCGTTACCAAGGCTGGACTATACCAATCATCATCAGAAGAAAAATAAGTCTCTTATTTGCAGCTCTTGTAGTGAGATTAGGAAAATGCCTCCTTACTATAATGCAGGGGTGTCAAACTCAAGGTGCTTAGATTTGGCCCATCAGGCCGCCCTGGAAACAGCAAAGGGCCGGCCCATGGCCCTCCCAAGCTCCTTTTTTGCTGGCAGAAGGTGGCAGAAAGTCATCACAGCTGAAAATGGAACTTGCAAGTATTAAATGTATTACATTTAATAATGTTTTATTGTAATTTATTATAATAATGTTTTATTATAGCATCCAGACATTAACACATTGTAAAAAAAATCTATATCATGAGAAAATATTTCACTATTAATAAGCAGCTATAGTAATGCTCTTACCTTCCAAAGGTCAGGAGGTCCTTCAATAAGTTTAGCATTTATTTTGCTATACTTTAAAGCTAGATGCAAACATTCTGTTCCATAATCCAAATCATAGTCACTACACTGTAGAAAACAAAAAGAACAAAAAATATAGAATATTTTAAAAATAAAATATGGCATTTAAAATATGCATGTGACCTTCAATGGATATACAAAATTTTAACAAAATAGATTGTATTGCTCTATATCTAGCTAATCTTTCAGAAATGTTGCTATAAACACAATACCTTGCCCCCTCCTGGAAAAAAGGTAATCTTTGTAGTATTTCAAATATTTTTATAGTCATATAGCAGTTTTCATCTCTCTGTGTGTACACTTAAATATTTCCTATTATAATGATAACAATTTTAATGCTGAGCTATCACTTTGGAATCCAACCTCTTTTTGTTCCACAACTATCACTGTGCTTCAATCAAATATTTATTAATATAGTGATTTCTCATAGCATCAGGATACAAATTTAATGACTGGTTGCTTAATGACCATTCAAAGTTACACCTGTAATGTACTTCTGACCATAGCGAAATGCCACACAACTTCCCCTGCACCAGTGGTTGTATTCAGTCAGTTCGCACCGGTTCAGGAGAACCGGTAGCAATAATTTGGCATGGGTCGCCGAATCAGTAGTAACTTCTGGCTGGCCATGCCCCTGAACCAGTCGCCCGGTCACCGCTCACTCATTTGCCCCGCCCGCCCAATTTTTTTTCACCCTGTCTAATGCCCACTCTGCCCAGTCACTCCAATCTCCACACTGGGTCCTCATGGCTTAACCTGCCTTCCCACATGGTGCCTGTACCCCAACTGAGCAGCTCTGATCTTCCTGATCACAGATAAGCCTGCGAGTCGCACTAGCACCCCCCACCATCCCCAGAACTAGCCTCCTCCTCCCCCACCATTCTCCGAGCTTGCCGAGGGCCCACCACCATTCCCGGGCTCATTTATCTGGCTTTGTTGCTGGCGCAGTCCTATCCCAAGTGGTCGCGCTGGCTATGGCCTAGCTTCATTGCATTGCAGCCCACTTCTTCCTTCTCCCAGGAGTGAAAGGAAGAAAGGTGCGGCCGCAGCATGCTGCCTTCTGCCTCCTTCTGGGGGACGATGGAATGAAGAAAGCAAGCGGCCACGACAGCTCCATGCTCCAGCCGCCACCCACTTTCAGCTTCCTCCCTGGGGATGCACTGCTTCTAGCCTGGCCAGTGGCTGGGCAGGTGGCCCTTGGGGGGCATCCCTGCTGCACTAAAGCTGAGAGGGGCGGCGGAGGGGTGCACTGCGCATGTGCAGTAGCCCCAGTACATCCGCCCACCCCACCCTCCAGGAATACTACCACCGCCGCTGTAGCTGCTCTCTGCCTTTCTCCCGGGGATGAAATAAAGTGGCCACGGAAGTAGCATGCTTCGGCCGCCGCTCCCACCGCTTGCTTTCTGCCTTCTCGCGCCGTCTCAGTCAGAACAGGTGTGTGTGTGTGTGTGTGTGAGAGAGAGAGAGGTGTGTGTGTGTGTGTGTGTGTGTGTGTGTGTGTGTGTGTGATTTACATGCATTCAATGTCTATAGTCCAGAGCATTTTGTTCTACAAAGGATTGCATTTGGGAAACATTAAATCAATACTGATGTTCCAGGATTTGTGAGTAATCTGTTAATATTTGCCATCTCCTTCTTATATTTTCTGTTTAGACTCTTGTACACATCCTTAAAAAGACTATTAATGCCAGTAGTACTGTAGTTTCTCCCCCTTTAGATCTCTTGAGAAAGATGTGGCTTCTTGGGAATACATTTTGGAGAAGTATCAAGAGAAATGCTAAAAGGGCAATCAGTTTGGGATTAATTTCCAAATGAAATTGGGTCTTCAGGGTAAGGAGATATGAAGAACTTTCAACTGCAGGTTTCTATAAATCTTATTAGGATATTAATCTCATTTTTTAAATAAGATTTTTAGAAACCTGCAGTTGAAATACAGAAATGGTATAGGGTTCCCCCAAGGTCCCTTCTGGGTGTTATTCTGTTACCTTTCACAGGACCTCTACAGATTTTGGACTCAGTTTTCCTGCCTGAGTAGGAGGTTAGACTAGAACAGTGGTCACCCACTGGTGGGCTGTGGCCCACAGGTGGGCCGTGAGAAAATTTTGGTGGGGCGCAGAGAAATCTCACCCCCAGAGCACCCCCACAAAGCACTTAATCCAAGCTGCGCAGAAACACAAGGCTGCACCACCCACATGGCCCGTGGGACCCCTCCTCGCCCACTCACTCCTTACCTGGCAAACTTGCCTGCTAAATTTCTATTTTTCCTTTTTCTGACCGTCATCTGTTCTGCTGTGCTGGGAGATTTAGATTAGCTAGGAAGCAGGAAATTGTTGGATTTCTTGCTTTCTAGCTAGTCTTTAGGTCTTCGGCTCAGCACAGCCGAACCTCCTTTAGGACTGAACGTTTGCTTGCAAGCAAATTCAGTGCAGACTCACAGCAAGCAAATTTGAAAGACTGAGCTAGCTGATGGCAGATAGATAGATCACTGAATGAATCTGTGATTCTGTGAGGATCTCAATCTGCCTGCCTGCTTTGCCTGATTTTGGGTAAAAGTTGCTCTTTTTTTATAAAAAAATCATTATTTACATGCATGGTGTGTTGTGAGTTAATTTTATGAGTTTGCTTGCTAGCAAATTTTATGAGTTTATTTGCAAACAAATTTTATGTGACAGAGCTAGCCAATGGCAGATAGACTTCTGATTGAATCTATAATTCTGTGAGCAACTTGATCTGCCTGCCAGCTTTGCCTAATTTTGGGTAAAAGTTGCTCTTTTTTATAAAAAAATTGAATATTTATATAAATATTTATAATATTTACATACAAGCCATGCCCAGCCAGTTACATGACCACCAAGCCACACCCACAAATTAAGCCACAACCACAGAACCAGTTAGTGATCCCTGGGATCTAAAATTATGAGTTTGGTGGTCCCTGAGGTCCAAAAGGTTGGTGACCCTTGTGCTAGAAGACCTCCAAAGTCCCTTTTAACTCTTGTTATTCCTAAATAACAAAGAGCCTGAGGATGTTAGAATCTGAATAAGGTCCTGGAAAAGGTGTTAGAATAACAGAATAACACTTAGAAGGGACCTTGAAGGCAACCTATACCATTTCAGGGAAATGGCTGTCCATTCTTTTCTTTAAAACTTCCAGTGATTGACCACCCAGAACATCTGGAGACAAGCAGTTCCACTGGCTAATTGTTCTCCTTAGTTTTATGTTGCTTCTCTCCTTGTTCAGTTGCTTCTTGTTTGTGCTTTGGAAAATACATTGCCCCCCCCCTTCTTTTTGGCAGCCCCTTAAAAGCCTGTTTCCTATCACACTCTTGGGCAAAGCATGTAAGACATTTCCTCCTTTGAATGGTCCATGAAAGTACATCTCTAGTATGTAGATCATAAAGTCAAAAAATGGTGAACAACATTTTTACAGAACTGAGGCTGGGTGTGACAAGGAATGGCTGGGAGGAAAGGGGCCAGGCAAGGCACCCCTTGATGTGAGTGACATTGAGTTAGCCATGTCCATCCAGTCACATGACTACCATGCCATGACTACCAAGTCACAGGACTGCCAAGCCACACCCACCCAGTCACATGACCACCAAGCCACACCCACCAGGTAAACCATGCCCACAGAACCGGTAGTAAAAAAATTGAATCCCACCACTGCCCTGCATAGTCATATAATTGCAATCTGGATTCTTAGCAACCTGATTGCACTTAACACCGTCAAATACCTCAGCATTATAATTGTTATAATTATAATAGAAAACATTTAAATGTTCACACACAGAGAGATCAGAACCACTGTATGAATCTAAACATATTTGAAATACTACAGATGATGATCACATAATTGCATTTGCCAGCTTCTCTGCTGATCTTGCCAATGGCGAGAGATCAATGAGGAATTCTGCAGGGAAGTTTGCAAGCTGTTGCCACCTGCTGAGAGAATTCCCTCTTGTCTCTGGAAGCTGACTGAAAGAACTCGCACCTGATTTGTGCATGCTTGAGAGTCAAACTTTGAGTTGGCAAGAGATAAAAATCTTTACCTTATAAGGAGACCCAAGCTTGAGCCTGAGCCAAAATCTAAATGTGTATAGAGCCCAAAATCGTTTTGCTTCTTAGTCTTTTCCTTGGCCTATCTCTCTGCCCTTTCACTGTCAAGAACTGTCTGCCAAAAGAGAATCTCATCTCTTGGTTGAGGGGTCTGTGTGTGTGTGTGCATGTGTGTGTGTATTCTCTGCACATGTGCACACGCATGCTGTAATCCTAACCCCAACCCTAACTCAACCCTAACTTCAATCTGGCCAATATTCACATGAGTTTTAGCCTTCCATAAAAACTTTTTCATTAACTTATCCATTTAATATAATTAATAGGAAGTAACCCTGGAATCTCCCTTAAAATATACATATTAATGTAATGTTCACTTAAAAATAACAAATAATACTTAACTTTTAGTTTTTGCAAGTGCATGCACTAAATGAAAGCCTTTCCATAACTGAAGCACTTTTAAAGAAAGATATGGATAAATTATAATTTTATTATAATATAATTAAATTATTATTTTTCCATTATGTTTCAATGTCTTGAAAGCTGTAAAAGATGATCTCTAGTACTAGACTTTAGAAATGAAAAATTACAGGGAAGAATCTCTGTGAGGAATTCTCTCTTGCTCTGAATCTATGAGCATCTATTATCTTACTTTAAAATAAATTGGCAATGACAAACATTCCTGAAGGCATCCTTCTGTGTAATTTAATAAAGGTTTCCACTACTTATCATCCAATGATAGGTTAATTATTTTTTAATTATTTCTGCTGAGTTTTCCCATATTTTAAGTAATTTTGATTGTAATTTTGTAATTATTTTTATCATGAAATTGATCGTTTTGTCTCAGGTCTTTAATTCTAGAGAAATAGCAATAATTCTCTTTAGCCTTTCCATCTTTTATGGATCCCAAATATGCCAGTTACCAAACTTGTAAATTTAATATCAAGAATTTCACTAATAATTCAAAGTCTGCTATCTTTTCTAATTGATACATCTGGAATTAATACAGTTCTATTCAGTCTGTTAGAGAAGAAGCCATCATTCCTTTCAATGGCATATCAATACATTGTACAAGTTCATCCAGTTTTTCTCTCCAATGTTTGGTATTGAGATCTTGATTTGAAGTGAGTGAGGAAGATCTAGATTGAAAATCAGGCCTGTCATATGTTATGTCTTTTCTATCCTGCTCTACGGAGTAGAAAGTTGGTCTCTGACAGAAAGCCACTTGAAGAGACTAGAAGCATTTGAAATGTGGATTTACAGATATCTGTTACATATAAGCAAGGTTGACAAATGCAGAAATGAGGAGGGGATAAGCTGCCTGGGAAAGTCAAGTGAAATCATCAAAACCATTAAAAAGCAAAGGTTATTTCGGACATGTGATGCGACACCCAGAAAAATATGGCATACTTCACTTAATCCTTCAAGGAAAGATTGAAGCAAACGATGTCCATGCAGAAGAGTACCATGGCTTCAAAGTCTAAGAGGCTGGTTTAGGCAACATTCAGCAGCATATTTTTGTGCAGCTGCTGATAAAAATAGGATTTCTAACATGATTGCCAATGTCCAATAACAAATATGGCACAAGAAGAAGAAGAAGAAAAAGAGGACGATCTGTTTAATTTATGAAATAAAACGATAAAATATTATAATATTCACTAAGACAAATTTAAAAAGTTCAGGCACAAATCATTCACGATGAACTATCTACAAGAGCAATTTATACCCATAGATTTGAACAGGATAGAAGGAAATCATGAAAATCAGATCTGCAGAAAGCAGGAATCCTGCCTCCCTCTCAGCCAAAAGACAATTGAAGGGCAGAAAAACAGGTCAGAAAGTGGATAGAAGGGCACCTTCCAAAAGAAATAAGCAGAATTAATTGGAGCTGCAATTTTGCCAATGTCAATCCCAGTTTATTCCCACTGGTTTCATTCATTCTAAATTTCCTATGTGTAGCATTTGGAAGTAGGGTAAGAGATAAATATGACATTTCCAGAACCTCAGATGATAATGACATACAGGTGGTAAGAGATAGTCAATTCCTTGGGAAATAGTAATCTGCTCCTGTAGCAGGAGAAGGAGGCTGACTATCCTGAGATCTAACTATATTCAAGCACAAGTCAAATACCTAACCAAGAAAAAGAAACATTACAACAACTTCTTTAAAAGAATTTGGAACTTCCAGGTGAGGAATGGCATTTAATACTAATTCTTACTATTATACTGAAGGCAAAAACCAAACTACTTACCTGAAGATATGCTTGATGGAGTTTATCAAATAAGAAAGCCTGAGGCATTTCACTTGCTCTGTACTTGGCACGATCTAGTGAATGGTCTAAACATCCCTCTGTAGTTGAAGCAATAACTGTGGAGACAAGAGGACGGATTGCTCCTGCTGCCTAGGGTACAAAAAAATGTCAGCTTTAAAACAAGTCTAATCAAATTAAAGAGTTTAATCTTCACATACATTATTAACCGAATATAGATACAGATGAATTCCATGTGAATAAATGACAGACCAGAATTACACAAAATATTTATATATCAGGTTCATGCACGATCAACTAATTGCACTAGATAACAACATTATTCAATGATACACAAATAATTACTCTAAACTCTTGTTTATATTTTCTGAGTTTTCTAAATGGAAAATTCATTATCACTACTTGATAATGAAGCTAATCAGCAAATTGACATAGTTTATTTAACTGGCTCTTAATATTGACTGAATGCTTTATGAATGTATGGCAAAGTTTTTCTGAATTTGTGTATCAAAGACTTTCTGAACAATACTGAAAATATTGCTGACTATGCCTTCAAGTGGAATAAGACTACATGATCAAATGTAGATCAGCCATTATCAAAAAATAACTTATTACAGTAATCATTGTGAAACAGTTTACTTATGTCAAAACTTTTAATTATTTATACATTTAATTTCTGGTTAATTGATTATATAACTATAAAACATTTGTTTGCCTATTAAATTTTATTGAATATCTTTGTAAAGGGTACTGCAATATTAGAGCAACTTAATTTAGTCAATGGATAGTACCATTCTAAAAATACAAGTTCCAGGTAAAACTGGCAGAAATTCAACAGAAGGAGGAGATCATTTGTGGGGGGAAATGTTTTGCTCGTGATGGGAAGCAGTCTCTGCTCTTCTTGCAGGATCTTTCTTGGTGCCTCAATGCTTGGTAGGCCGGTAGCATTTCGATATGCCTATTGATGGAGTTGTTGAAAAACCAGGCTTCTTTCAGTAAGCGTCTCCCTTTGGTTGCATTATGTGCAACAACTTTGGCCTCTTGAAAATTAAATATGTGATTGTGTTCTGTCATATGTGTCCAGATCTAGGTGCGCTGCTCTTTGCGCCATTTTTTTCACAAACAATCTCCTCCTCCTGTTGAATTTCTGCCTTAGAACCTATTTTACATTTAACAGCCCTACATATGAACAGATAAAAGGTACACTTATGGGATCTCCAAACTCGGTTGTGATTGCAGAGGCCGTCCTCCAGAAATTAGAATATGATGGAATGAAAATATACAAGCCCAAGTTTTGGGCATGTTATGTCAATGACACGTTTGTCATTATTAAACAGCAAGATAAGACCAGATTTATGAAAATCCTCAATTCCATATACCCTAACATTCAGTTCACAATGAGGCCAATAATACACTGACCTTCCTGGATGTACTAGTCAGCCTTAACCCAGACACCGGTGTACACCTTAACACAGGTGTACATCGAAAAATCATGAACATGGACCATATTTTGCACAATGAGAGCAATCATCCCACTGCACACAAAGTCAGTTGTATTCGGGCACTGTTCAATAGAATAAGTACCCATTGTAGCACATTAACAGTCAAAGCCAAAGAGTGGGCATACCTCTATCAAGTCTGTAAGCTCAATGGTTATTCTATGGACTTTATCTGAAGATATATTACACCCAGAGCGGAAGGTGCTAGTGGAACATCTGCATAGAGGGTGCTCCCATATATACAGGGAGTATCTGAAACTGCTGCACGCATTCTCTTGACACATGAGGTCAAGGTGCATACAAGCTGTATCAAACATTGAGAATGACAGTGATGTGCCCAAAAGAAACATTACCCAAAGAACAGGCATCTTCGGTTTATCGTATTAATGGTAATAACTGTGCAAGCAACTATGTAGGGGAAACGGCCAAGCGGTTACAGACAAGATTATATGAACATGAATTGGCTGTCCAGCGCAAAGAGCAGCACTCCCAGATCTGGACACATATGAAGGAACACAATCACATATTTAATTTTCAAGAGGCTGAAGTTGTTGCCTGTGATATAACCAAAGGGGGACGCTTACTGAAGGAAGACTGGTCTTCCAAAAACAACTCTATCAATAGACGTATCAACTGCTACTGGCCTACCAAGCATTGAGGCATCAAGAAAGATTCTGCAAGAAGAGCAGAGACTGCTTTCCATAGTGAGCAAAGCAACAAATGAATCTAGTGGACAAAACAAAGGGGCCTTTAAGATAGAAGTCTGTTGGGATGAGGGAAGGAACTAGAGAGAATGCTGTCAAACTCATGCGCCTTTGGTTAATGTTATATAAAAGCACGTATCTCCTTAACAGTTTTACACTCTGATGGTGTTAGCAGAAGCTGACGAAAGCTTAGCGAACAATTTAAATTTTTAGTTCCAGAGATCAGGATGTCTGTCTCTTTTCACATACACACGCGCACGTGCGCGCGCACACACACACTTTCATAAATGTTCTAAACATGACAGTTTCTACACATAAAACATGTAACACAAGATGCTAAAATGTAACAGGTGAGCAGACCTTTATTTATAACCACACTGAATACACAAATTCCATCACCAGGATATACTTATAGATATCCTATGCAAAGCATTCATGAAAATGGTGAATTAATTTCTAATATAAATTAGATTAATATAAATAATAACTATCATTTTTATAACATATGAAAGATATGTAAAGCATATCTTGAAAATTACTCCGTAGTCTTTTTAGGTGAAATCTAAAATTAATTTTACTATTAAATTAATGTATATTTGAGAAGGACAATTTTCTAGGAAAACTGTTCCAGTCATGATTTCTTTATTTGACTTAGGAAGTTAAGACAGTATCACACTGGCAATGACTACTAGATTGATAGCAAATCCAACCTTTCCCTTTACTCCTTGCTTTTCCACTCGCCCATCTTTTATTCTTATATTGCTATATTGTCATTGTTTTTTTTATTATTTATACTATTGTTCCACTACTTTGCTACTGTTGTGTTTATCCTTTTTTCATTTCTCCATTGTAAGTCATCTATAGTAGCCCCACAGCAAGATAGATGGCAAACAGATTTAATTCTTCTTCTTCTTTTTCTTCAGCGTTTGTCTCGCGCTCGGGCGAGGTCCGCTAATGTCCTTGAGTACTGCTTCCACACCTCTCTGTCTGCCACGTGTGTCGGGTCTGCCTTCGCGATCTCTAGATCGGCCTTGATCGTGTCCATCCAGCGTTGTTTAGGTCTACCACGCGGTCTCGCTCCTCCGACAGTCACCTTCATTACAGATTTGATGATGGATTCTTCCTTGGCGCGGCTCACGTGGCCGAACCATCGTAGCCGGGACTGCCTCATGACCGTGGGGATGGGCACGACGTTGAACCGTCTACGCACTTCTTCGTTCCTGACGCGATCGAGTAGGGTGAGGCCTACCGACCATCGGAGCATTCGCATCTCCATTATCTGGAGTCTGCTTTCGACTTCTTTGGTCGTCGGCCAGCACTCTGCGCCGTATATGGCCACGGGGCGCACCACAGAGTTATAGATTTTCGCCTTCAGGCGCATCGGCATCTTCTTGTCACAGAGGACGCCCGTGACGGACTTCCATTTGCCCCACGCTGCATTGATCCTGGCTGCCACCTCAGTTTGTAGTAGGCCTTCTTCCCCAAGAGTAGTTCCCAGGTACTTGAAGGTGGAGGCGCGCGGTAGCTCCTGCCCGTTCACGTGGATGGAGCCTGTCATTTCATTGTCAGTGGTCAGGTATTCGGACTTCTTTAGGTTCAGCCGGAGCCCGAACTGCTCGAGGCGGTCGTGCCACTGTTGGACTCGGTGCTCTAGTTCAGCCTTGCACAGGTTGGCCAGGAACACATCATCGGCGTAGAGCAGCGTCCATGGGGCGGGCGTGTACAGGTCGTGTGTAATTGTGTCCATCACCAGAATGAACAGCAGTGGTGAGAGAGCAGAGCCCTGGTGTACGCCGACGGTAATATTAAACTCCTCTGATATCCCAGCTGCCGCTTTTACACGGCTTTTGTGACACCTGTATAGGAGTTGGACCCATTGTACGAGCAGCTCAGGCACGCCGTGGTCTCGCAGTGCGTACCAGATGAGATCGTGCGGGACTCGGTCGAAGGCCTTTTCCAAGTCTAGGAAGGCGGTGTGGAGCGGGATTTTCTTCTCTCTGTGAGCCTCCATCAGCATCCGCACACCGAAGATGGCGTCGGTGGTGCCGCAGTTCTTGATGAATCCAGCCTGGTTGACGCTGATGTCGACGGTGTCCCGAATGCGCTTATCAAGGACGCGTTCAAAGATCTTCATAGTGTGTGACAGTAACCTGACCGGTCTGTAGTTGGAGCAGTCCGCTGGGCTGCCCTTTCCCTTCCAGATCGGAACAGTGGTGCTGCGGTACCAGTCGTGTGGCACTTTTCCCGTGGAGACGATGTTGTTGAACAGCTCGCACAGCCACAATGCCGAGCCCGGTAGTGCCTTTTTCCAGAAGTCGGCAGGGATGTCGTCTGGTCCTGTTGCCTTACCGTTTTTCATGGCCTTGATGGCGTCGGCGACCTCGCTGGCATAAATGCCTGAGACTGGGCCTTCAACTGGGTCACCTCGCGGGGTTCGTGGGTGTGGGAACTCCTCGGTGGAGATCTTCTCGAAGTATTGCCGCCACCTCTCCGCAGCGTCTCTGGGGTTGACGATCAAATTTCCCCTTTCGTCGTTGATCCCATGAAACTGGTCAATGTCCAGGGTCTTCCTGTGTCTGCTTTTGGCTAGGCGGTAGATCTCATTCTCGCCTTCTCGCGTGTTCAGCTTCTCGTAGATGTCATCGTAGTGGGAGCTTCTGGCTGTCGCTACTGCTTTCTTGGCTGCCTTTTTGGCCGCCTTGTATTCGCAGAGCTTCTCGCTGGTCTTGTCCTGAAGAAAGGCCTTGTAGAGCCGTTTCTTCAGGTGTACGGCATCTTGTACTTCTGGTGTCCAGAGCCATGTATCTCGTTCGATGCGTCTCCGTCCTGGCTTGGTGCAACCAAGCTGTTGGCAGCCGGCAGTGTGAACAGTGCTCTTCAGCATGGACCACGCTTCCTGTGGCCCGTCGACCATCTGTGGGAACTGCTCCGGTTTGATGAGGGGTCCCGCCATCTTCTTCTGGTTCCACCACTTGATTCGTGGCTGGTCTGCATTTCTTTTGTCAATCCTGGTCTTGGGCTTGCTGATCCTGATCTTCGCCATCAGCGGCCTGTGCTGACTGCTCGATTCGTACGGGTACGCCTTGGCGTTGAGCACGTTTTTAGCGGCTCTTCGTCGTACGATGATGTAGTCGATCTGTGTGTGGTGGCTCCCGTTTCTGCTATGGTAGGTGAGGAGTTGAGATTCTCGCCTAATGAAGCAGGTATTCGTGATGGTCATATCATGGGAGTCGGCAAAGTCCAGGATCCTCTGGCCATTCTCATTCGTATCGCCTGTGCCGTGCCCACCGTGGCACTGGTGTCCGTTTTTGTCCCGCCCTACATGACCATTCAGGTCGCCCGAGATGATGATGTCGTCTTCGTGTGGGATCTGCCTGAGTTGGATGTCGAGCAGTTCCCAGAAGGTATCCTTCTCCTCCTCGTGACATCCGGTCTGAGGGGCGTAGGCGGACAAGATGTGTAGGCGCTGCCTCTCGGTCGCTACGACGATTATCATCAGTCGTTCTGTGAGGCGCTTAACTTCTGCGACGGAACTTTGCCAGCTTGGACTGACAACCACAGCTACACCGCCGCGGTTTTCCTTACAGCTGGTGTATATGATCTTGTAGCCGTCTATAGTCGTAGCCTTGTTGCCCTTCCAGCGAGTTTCCTGGAGGCAGCAGATGTCCAGCTTCCTGTCCCGCATGGCCCTGACGATCTCGGTCGAGCGTCCAGTCAGCGAATCCACGTTCCAGGTGGCCACCTTGAGCGTCTGGCAGTCCTCTGTTCCCCGCTTGCGTTTTTTCACACGGCCGTGCTTTCCACGTGGACCATTTCGTTGATTTTTGGCGCAGGCCAATGGTCTCCTGCGCCCGTCGGTTCCCCCGAACGCGGTAGCATTGGACGTGTGTTTTGTAGTGGACGTTTCCATCATGTTGATGCGGCATTTGAGTACTCCAGCCGGCCTGTCGCGTGGGCCTGTCGTCGGAGGGTCTGCTCTCAGTTACGGTCAGCGTTTGACGGCTTCGCGCATCCAGGGGACACCACTTGGAGGTGGCAGACCGCTCGTCCCCAGATTTAATTAATAAATAAAAACAGATTTAATTAATAAATAAAAATTAAATTAAAGCTAAAGTCACAGATATTTAAAGCACCTGAAGTTGGAAAAGCTTATCCTCCATCAGATAAAATGATATCAACTATTCCAGCAAATCCTTCAGGCAAAGCCATATCCTGTTTGGTGCTTTCCATATCTTTTGGGCTACAGTTTTCAAATAATTAAAGTCTAGCAGTCAATTTAATCCTAAATAAGGCAAAGTTATTTTAAAAATCCTCCAATTACAGGAAGTGATTAGTAATAAGAACTTTGAGAACAAGTTTCTTTCCCCTATCAAAAATTCAGCTCTATTTGTACAAGAATAAAGAAAATACAAAAGTACATTAAAACTATGTAACAATTTTCAAATTCATGTCGCCAATTGTCCATTTCATCAAATTAAACATTAGCACTTCTAAAAATAATAATCATATTAATCTGGCCTTCAACCATAGCACAATATTCAAAAGCAAGGGAGGAAAATCACCTTGATCTTGTCACTGACTTTGTTGGGAAGGTTTTAATTTACCAATACTTATTTACATTCCTTATTTATCCAATTCTGCCCACTATTTGTTTCTTTTATTGATAGAACTCTGCCAAGTGGAACTAGTGTTCACAAGGATCACAAAAACTTTTTCCAGCCTATTTTTAGGTCCTGCACACACAAAATAATTTCTTACTGTGCCCAATAGGTATATAATTTAACCTAGAGGTGTTGTAAATTTTTCCATAGCTGTATAAATCAATATGATTATTGTCTTTTCACCCTAACAAACATTTTCACATATTACTGCACTCTGAATATTAATTTACACAATTTAAACTACTTTTATTTGAAAGCATTCATATACATGTGTTACAAATTCTACATTCAAGCAGAATTAACTGAGCACTTATTTTTGCAACAAGTAGGAACATGTACTTGTTCATGAACATCCATACTCTCACCAATTATATATTTAATAATCAACATGCTTTACCCATAACTGTAATTATCACTTCTGATAGCAGAACTATCTTAAAGAATTACCTCTTTTACATTTTAGAAATGCCACCTTCAAGGAAAAAACAACCACAATTATGTGACTTAAATATTATAGTTTTTTTTCACAAAGTACATATTTTGTACAATGAAAATTGAATTGACACTGGATTTATACCACTTCTTTGGCATTAAATTGATTCTGTAATCATTTTAATTACCAACAAAACTGGGGAAAAAATTAACAACCTCAGAGTGAGACAATAGCAGGAAACATTAAACTGTAATTTGGCTTAGATACAGATCTTGTTGTATTTTAGCTAGACCTACGCAAATCTGTTTAATCTGTTTACGTTTTTCTAGGTTGTCTGTTGGATTTATTTTAGGCATAACTAGATCTGCATCTAAATCAGTGGTTCCCAAACTTTTTCAGTCCACCACCCTCTTGGTGCTACAAACTTATCCTTGGTGCCCCCCCATCCAGGGATTCAAATTTCTGTGGGCGTGACCTAATTTGAGTATGTAGCTTGCTGGTCACGTGGCTGGGTGGGCGTGGCTTGGTCATGTGACTGGATGGCATGGCTTGCTGGCTGGGCATGGCTTGCTGGTCACATGACCGGGTAGGTGTGGTTTGGTGGTCATGTGACTGGGTGGGCGTGGCCAGGTGACTGGCAAAGTGGTCCTCACTTAATGGCTGGTTGTTTAGCAAGTGTTCTAATTTATGACTGGCCTCCCCAAAGATACTTGACCTGTTTTTGGAGTTTTGACAGCCATGAACACACATACTCCCTTCAAACCCTTCTAACCCTGCTGGAGCAGGTCATTGGACTAGAATCGGCAAAGCATCTCTGATTAGATTCTAGTTGTGAATAAAATCTAATCAGAGATGCTTTGCCTATTCTTGTTTATTTGTTTTATTTGTATCTCTTTATTTTGCTGAATTGCACTGACATGCGTGTCCCTTCTTGTGCACAATCCAGAAGCTTTTGTGATTCTTTGCAGCAAAAATTACTGACATCTGGCTTTGCTCTACTTTTCAAATGTGCTGCCACTGCCGCGTTCTAGGTGCCGGCCCCACAGGTCCACCCCATTGAGCCCACTGCACCAGAGGGAGCTGCCCAAGCAAGTCAAGTCAATGGGGTGAGCCTGAGAGAGGAAAAGAGAGAGAGAGAAAAGAGAGAGAAAGAGAGAAGGAAAGAAAGAGAAAAGGGAAAGAAAGAAAAAAGGACAAAGAAAGGGGGAGGATGGAAGGAAGGGACAGAAAGAAAAAGAAATAAAGAAGGAGGGAGGGAAGGAGGAGAAGGATAATGAGATATCTATTCTAGTCCAATCACCTGCTCCAGCAGGTTTAGAAGGGTGTGTGTGTGTGTGTGTGTGTGTGTGTGTGTGTGTGTGTGTTCTCCTTGTAATTTACCAGTACATTTTGGTTTTGCCTTCTTCAGAATTGGCACTGTAATACATTGGACAGAAGTAATTTTTAGGGTGGAGATCTGGTCCAATGGATCCTGTTTAAAGCCTCAACAAAATGTGAGAGCTTCCTGATAGTCTTGACCATGTTTTGTTCACAAAACCTTTAATAGAAGCCAAAGATGTTTCAATGTGCTGGCAAAGATATTTCAATGTGGAAAAGGGCCTCAGTCTAAACTAGGTCTCATTTCAATCTGATGCATCATCTCTCTCTCTCTCTCTCTCTCTCTCTCTCTCTCTCTCTCCCTCCCTCCCTCCCTCCCTCCCAGACTGGCTTTGCTCTACTTTCCAAATGAGCCTGCGGGGCTGGTGCTTCAAACATGGATGGATGGAGAGAGAGAGAGACAGGTAGGTAGGTAGGTAGGTAGGTAGGTAGGTAAGCAGTCAGACCTTTGGGATGAATGTATGGATAGATAGGTAGGTAGATTGGTAGATAAGTAGGTAGGTAGGTAGATCTATATTGGTAGGTAGGTAAGTAGGTAGTCAGAAAGACAGGCAGGCAGGTAGGTAGATAGATAGGCAGGAAGGCAGGCAGTCAGGCAGACAGACCTTTTGGGAATGCGACAGCAGTGGCACTTTGGGAAAGTAGAGCAAAGCCAGAGTGGGAATTGAAGTCCACACAAGTTGCCAAGATTGAGAAACACGGGCTGAATATATCAACCCAACCATTCTGGTTAGAGTTTAGCATGCTGTTTGATTCTGTCTTGGTCAATAAACCATGGCAAGATCTCCTACTCCTTAATGCAGCTGCCCCTCTGCCCCTTCTCCAGCCCCTGCCCCAGTTCTTTCGTTGGCATCCAATTTTGCAATGCCAACCTCCCTGGGGCAGCGATGCGGCCGACTTCACCCTCTTTGCTGTGACCCAAGGTCCACTTCCATCAGGCCAAGCAAGGGGAGGTGCTCTGCATACGCTCAGAGACTCCCAACTTCAGGGAAGCACTCCGCCCATCTTTACGCTCCTCCCAGGAGAAGGAAGGCATGCAGAAGCAGCTCAGACCGACGGAGGGGAAGGCGGAGGGAACGATCACTTGGAAAGCAAGCAAGTGCAGAGCTTGGTTGGAAGAACCAGGCTGCAGAGGGAGGCTAGGTTCTTGGTCTGGGCCAGCCACGTAGAGCCGAACTGAACCAAGTCACGCGCCTTGGAGAGCCACAACTGCACCCACCCACATCCTGTGTGCAAGCCTGGCTGGCTGGAGAGGCGGAGGCCAGGCAGGCGCTGCGCGCTTCCTTGTTCTCCTCTGGGGAAGGGGGCCCTAACACCGGACCACCCACCCCTTCCACTGCGTGCCTTGGGAGGGTTTTGCTTTCAGGCCTTCTGGCATGCCTCCACTGCTTCCACCAGAGAGGGCAGCCTGCAAGCTAAGGAGTCCCCTTTCCGCCACCTCCCACCTCTCCCCCTCCCAGGCTTGGCAAGGCTCGCTGCACGAGTTCCGCATTTGAGGCGTCGGCTACAGAGCAATGAAACAATCAATGGGCTGCGTGGCCGGCAGTCATTGAGCCTGCAGGGATGGCACCTCGAACGCCCCCCTGCCACCTCTTAGCGCCCTCCTGCTGCCCCCCTTGCCTCTTAGTGCCCCCCTAAGGCATCCCTCCCCAGGGGTGGTACCACCCACTTTGGGAGCCACTGATCTAAATCATTATCTTGAAAGATGCAGTTTCATACTGTAGCACTGATAATAGCAACCACATAGAATATCCAGATCACATTTCCCACAGTATAAGTTCTTAAAAAGAGGAAATTTTGAATAGATATTCAATGAAATACATTGTGCTGTAAAATGGTTTGTTACAGTTCCTAAACTTCTGTAAAAGGTTTCCATTGCAAAAATGATTATTCTCTTAAAGAAAAATCATCTACATAGTGTGGTTAAGTTATCCAAGCAGTTTGTATAACACCAACTATTTATTAAAAATAGATGACTATGAAAAAATATGATTTTCATATATCTGCAAAAAAGTCAAAACACAAATACAGTATGAGCAAATACAATCCAGGATACTATTATCTGAGAATGAGAGAAGTTATTTCTGGTGGCTCCAAGTTGTTGTGTTGGCTTCTTTGACACATGAGGTGTTATTTTCTCTCTTCAAGAGACCATGCAATATTTTTTTAATATTACAATTACAGAGCACCTGAAACAAGGGATTTGGACCAATTTCAATCAGATTTCAGGCTAGGATTTAGTACACACAATTAGGCTTCCACCCTAATGGCATTCCAGAACTCTTTGAAAAACTGTCTATCTTTCAGACCTCAGTTGCCTGAACAGATAAAGATGATAGATGATAGAGAGAGAGAAAGAGAGAGAGAGATGATAGACATTCATTTACTGTATTTTGTATATATCAGTTTAGCACAGCAATTGACAGATTATAAAAGACCTGAAACAAAACATCCAGTTTTTGTCCAAATAGGAATGAACAAAAAAAGCACAAGATTAATATGTACATTAATATGATAGCCTTATTCTGTTTCAGAGAAAATTTTTAAAAACTAACTTCTTTGCTTGGAACAAACCTTTAGCTTTAGCTTTGCTTGTAAGTAAGCACAGAATTTTGAACATGGTGAGAAGCTTTTGGTCAGATCAGCACAACATGCACTCTACCAACAGTTTTAAAAAGTAGTGAATTTACAACTGCTGCAGTGCCAGCAACTCTAGTGATTCTGCAGCTCTACTAGTTGTTGATTAGCATTTTCAATATATGTGACAAATGAGGATTTTTAATTCATCAATGTGGAGCTTTTTACTTGACAGGTTAGCAGGCATACTTTGATTAATGGAAAGTATACTTAATTGCAGCTGGTTAGAGAATTGAATGGAATACAATGGAGTTCAGATAATCTATCTATATTGTTTAGGAAGTACTACAGCCGTGATGGTGAACCTATGGCACACATGCCAGAAGTGGCATGCAGTGGCACACGAGAGGTCACCCAGAAGAGCCCCACTATGCATGCGTGTGCACCGCCCGCCAGCTGATTATCAGGTATCTGGTGTGCATGCCCAGGAGACAGGAGTGCGTGAGAGATGCACACTGCATGTGGGGATTGCACGCACATGTGCATGCCCAGGGGGCTTGGGAGGTCCTAACACATTGCCTTCTGGGTGCTGGCACATGCGCGCACAAGAGCAATTTTCAGCACAGGAGACCAAAAGGGTTAGACACCCCTGTACTAGAGGTAAACATGCACAATGCACAATAGTGAGAATGACATGAAAGATGATTGAAAGTCTGATGGTAAATCTCATCATCTGCCATATCAAAGATAAGTGATCCAAGGATGAATTAGCTTAAATAAGTTTTCATCTGTTTGGGATCGATATGTTTAAAATGTCATTATATTTAAAATACTATTGATGTATACCATGACCTTTATCAGATCCAAGACAGTTTTCCTTTTTTGGATTTGAACAACTGCACATCATTCAATGAACAAGAACAGAGATTTATCCAATGAATGAACCTCTTAAGATGAATTCAAGGCAGAATGCAACTAGAATGCAGTATAAGAAGATTTACATATATTTTTTTCAGAATCTAATTTAAGTATAAAATTAATGGTGCCTTCCTGGTTTATGTAGCCAGTCCCACTGTCAGGAAAACCAAGCAGCAGTAATGAAGCAGCTTCTATTATAATTTCAAATGATCATAATCAGCCCAAATTAGAACTCTAGCTATTATTACATGTGAAAAAGATTTATTTTTCTGTATCTAATACAAAGAGCCACATAAGAAAAGCTGCTGAGTTATTGTTAGGTACAAGTTTCTACAGGTTTCTGTAACAACAGTAGCTTGTTTTTCAATTACACTGAGGCAAATTGGAAATCAGAAAAAAAGATGCATAGCTTAAGGCTGTTGATCATTTATGGTCTTGCACTTTTCAATGAAATGACATGCAGTAATTGTGCTGGAAATGCTTTATCCCTGAAGCCTGGTACAGATGAGAGAAAGTTAGGAAAAGCTGGCTTGAGTATATACTCACGTTTTATGTATTTGTATCCTAATTTTCTTTTCAAAATGAAGTCCTAACAGTTTTGAGCAAAAAAGACCCAACCCCAATATTTTAAAAGATAAATGTTGATAAACTGTTGAAAATGAAAGAATTTCAATGCATCTGTAAATTTAAGTCAAGTAACAACTAATTCAGCTCATAAACCACTATGAATATATAAATAAACATATAGCTCTAGAATAAAGGTATAAACAAACATATAGCTCTAGAAACAGTTGCATAGTTGTGTGTGTATATATAGTTGTATATTTAAGGGATTTACTTTTTTTTCTTTACGCAAAGTTTGAATATTCTTCTTGTAATAATGTAATATTTGACTTCAATCATTTTAATTAGTTTTTTGGATAGATATGCAGTTATATTACATTTATCAGCATAGAAAACTGAATTGTATTTAGCATGTGACAAACACACAAATAGACATCAATTAAAGCAAGTAAAACTTAAAAGTAATAAAAACAACAATGTGAAAAGCAGAAATGACACCTAGAATCACACACACAATGCTATTTCTGCTGACTGCCAGCTGCCTGAAATGTGGCAGTTCAAATCTCACCAAGGTAAGGTTGATTCAGCCCTCCTTCCTTCCGAGTTCTGTAAAATGAGGACCCAAATTGTTGGGGCAACATGCTGACTCTGTAAACCGCTTAGAGAGGGCTGTAAAGCACTATAACATGGTATATAAATCTAAATGCTATTGCTATAACCACAACATACAATCAAGGTCCAGTAGTGGCCATAGCCAGGGGGCTTGAGAGCCCTGCTTTAGGGGATGCAAACTGATAACTTCACACTGGCAATGAGCCAAGTATTGTCTCTGCATAGACAATATGGTTAAAACTGGGAGACTAGTGTAATGTATTTTTTTGAATCTGCCAACATATACTATTATAGTCACCATTCATATGAAAATCTATCTTTATTTGACTTAATCATGACTACAGCTATATTTGAATGTCAAAACACCCCCATTTAAGGGTTTTTTTTTTTGCCATTGATGAAATAAAAGTCCAAGTTTTAAAGAAAAAGCACAAGCATGATATTAACTTATTCCTGGAGTCATAACAAAATAAACTGAAGTTTAGTTATAAGAGTTCATGAGAAAATTGGACTTTTTAAAGTTAAGAAGACTAGTCCTATCTTTCAGGATTGACAAGTTTCTTTTTTAAAAAAAAAGGCCGTGCTGAAAACATCTTTCCTTGTGGTACTGTTAAAACTGTTGGCAATATAAAATTGCTAGGAGCATTGGAATGCTGCCTTCTTCTGTTTTCACTACCTTTCACAACTTGTATTGGCAACAAAAAATGGGTTTTTAGAAATGTATAAGTTTAATTATGAATTGCTTCAAAACATAAATGGAATTTAATTGGTTACAAAGCTATATTCTAACATAATCAGGACATTGTTTCATATAGTTAATTTACTAGGGCATAATTTAGTAGTTCTCATAAGCTGCACATTTTGAATCCTGCAGGCAAATAACAAACTGATTAGTAAATGTAATAATGTAATTTATTCTACTGACAAGTGGAATTAAAAAGTGCAATATCCTACTTGATCAATTGCCATTTTAAGAACATTAAGACTTCATACAATTATGCTATTCATATGGAATGCAGAATCTGAATTTACAGTATCATTGTTGCATGAGTGATTTAATGTTAAGTTTCAGCCAAGTTTTTTTTTTAAAAAAACCTAGGAAGTCTAAGTACATAATTTAAAAAGGAAATAATTACTCTTCATAAAAAATGTTTAACAAAGCAATATTTATGTAGATTTCTCATTCATCCCACTTCATGTTTTAGAGTAGGCTTTGTATATATTTTTTTCCTAAATGGCCATCAATAAGGAAGGCATGACACTCCAGTTTACTGTGCCAAAAAAGAGAACATGTATATTGCTTTTGTATGGATGCAGGCATTAGCTATGCATAAGCTCTACATAAAAGCAAATTTAAAACAGGAATATAAGACATATTTCTAAAATATAACAGACTGGGCTCTATCCAGCAAAATGCAATTCAGTGGTGAGAAAGCAAAAGTGTATATTTAGGCAAGAAAAACTAAATTCACAGGTATAAATAGATGGCACCTAGCTCAACAACTGTTTAGTAACTGTGAGAGAGATCTAGGATTCCTAGTATGATAAAGCAGTTTGCTACAGCTGTCAAAAAGGCTAATGCGGTCTAAGGCTGCATCAGCAGAGAGATAGAATCAACTATCAACGTGAAGTGTTAGTACCACTTTATGCTGCACTAGTAAGTCCATACTTGGAATACTGCCTCCAATTTTGGTTACAAAACAGATATTGAGCAGTGCTGGGATTCAAATAATTTAACAACCAGTTCTCTGTCCTAATGATTTTTTCCAACAACCAGTTCACCAAACTGCTCAGAAAGTTAACAACCGGTTCTCCTGAACTGGTGCAAACTAGCTGAATCCCACCACTGATATTGAGGCTTTAGAAAGTGCAGAGAAGAGCAACAAAAAAGATTAAATGGACTAGAATAATGAACAGTTGCAAGAACTGGGAATGTCTCATCTAACAAAAAGGACTGAGGTGACATGATAGCAGTCTTTTATTATTTGAGGGGCTGTTATAGAGAAGAGGGGGATAACTAATTCCCGAAAGCATTTAAGCACAAGATAAGAAGTAATGGATGGAAGCTTAACAAAGAGTAATCTAGTATTAAGGAAAAAATTTGGGCTAAAGGCTTTTAAGACTGGACAGCCACTTGTCCAAAATGGTATTGTCTCCAGCAATAGAAGATTAAGACTTCAAGATCTCTTCCAACTCTGTTATTTTGTAATTAAACAGGACGTTTTTTCAAAGGCATTAAGGATTGGCTGGGGATCACCATATAATAATTTCTCCTTTCTCCTTTTGGAATTTGTATTATGAGCCAGTTATTATTTTCTTCATAATAGTTATTGCATCTAAACTTGCCATAGATCCATGATGGTGAACCTATGTCACACATGACAGAGGTGGCATGCAGAGCCCTCTCTCTGGGCATGCGCTCCACTTTGTTGCGCATGCACCTCCCATCTGGTCTTTGGGTCTCTGCCACGCATGCATTGAGGTCACATACATGCGGGGATCACATGCATATGCACAGGGGCATGGGTAGGTGCCTGCATATGCAGGATGCAGGGGGATCATGCATGCACAGGGATGGGGCACATGCACAGGATGGGCGCGCACTTGCATTTTGGGGGTGCACACACGCATGTGCGCTTTGGGCACTTGGTGTCCAAAAGGTTAGCCATCACTCCGATTATTCCATTCCTTATTTCAAGAAGAATGAATATGCTTCTCATTAAAAACAAGATGTAAAAAACTGAATTTAGATGTGCTCCTATTGTTTTCCTTTGTTTTTTTTAATAATAGTTTTATTGAGAAAGATTTTACAAGCCAAAATAATACAAATCTAAAATAAAATGAAAATTAAGAAAAAGAAAAGTGCTCAGCAAATAGAAATGAAATATAGATAGATATCCTTTATTGTCATTTTTTACTGTGTGCACACTGGTAAATATTTAAAAGGAAATTCTGTTGCCCACTCTCAGAGTGTGTGTGTGTGTGTGTGTGTGTGTGTGTGTGTGTGTGTGTTGCTAAGTGAGACATTTGGTGAATTTTATGAGATTTTATGACATTTCTTGCTAGAGTTGTTAAGTGAATCTGGTTTATCAATTGTCCTTGTCAGAAGGTAACAAAAGATGATCACATGATCCCAGGAAACCGTCATAAATATGAATCAGTTGCCAAGCATCTGAATTTTGATCATGTGACCATGGGACTGCATAACTATGAAAACTGGTCATAAGTCACTTTTTTTTGCAATTTTGAACGGTTACTAATGAACTATTGTAAGTTGAGGACTACCTGTATACACAACTATATATACATATTATACATGTGTGTATACATATACATATATGTACGTATATCTTAATCACTGTCCATTTTGAATATATGGTAAAAAGATTAAATGTTAGAGGTTTCCAATCTTTTTATAGCAATTATAAATGCATTTATATTTTATCATCTCAAACTAAGTTTACTTCATGGGTCTCTCCTTTTTCAGTTCTTTCCTTTCCAATCATTAAACCCATAAATACAAGTTGTTGTTGTTTTTGTCTATTTTCAGAAAAAAAATAAAACACAAATTTCACTTAATCAAGAACCGCATAAACAGAGATGGGATTCTACCAGTTCGGACCAGTTCTATAGAACCAGGTATTACTATTCTGCGTAGTTTGGAGAAATGGCAAATTGCAACACTGGCTGGCCCATCCCTTCCCACCCGCCTCTCCCCACTCCGCCCAGTCATTCTTTATCTCATATGCGTGCCATCTAACTTGCCTGCATTGTGCCTTCGCTAATTTTTGGTAAGTTGCTATTTTTCCTTTTTTTTTTCTCCCGAAGATCAGTTTTCCGATTATCAGCTGTGCCACACAATTTAGATTACCAGAAAGCAGGAAATCATCAGATTTCTTGTTTTCTAGCTAATCTAAATCACTGTTCTACTGCTTTGCCTTCACCCAGGAAGCTTCCCCGAAGCCCAGTCAGGGATTGCATTCAGGGGTTTGGAGGGGGGAGAAGTGGCCTGAGAGCAGAGCTGAACCTTCCTTAAGACTGAAGCTTCTATTTTTCAATGATGATTCAGGCAGCAGATTGCAGAAAGATAGATCTGTGAGTGAATCTGTGATTCTCCACGCAACTCAATCTGCCTGCCTCCTTTGCCTGATTTTGGGTAAAAGTTGCTTTTTTATGGATGGATGTAAATATTGTATGTATGTAAATATTTATGGTATTTACATACAAGCCACGCCCAGCCAGCCACATGACCTCCAAGCCACACCCACAAATTAGGTCATGACCACAGAACTGGTTAAGAAATTTAAACCAAAAATCTTCTAAATTCATTCTGGAGATGAATATATTTTAAAATCCCATTATCACAACCCTAAAATATTAAAGTTAAAACAGGAACTTTAAATTTATATTTGCTTTCAATGATTTTTTGCTAGAATCTTAGACGACATGACAGTATATTCTATCATTTACTCAGATGACTGATTAAATAATTCTTTTTACCAATAACACGGTACATCTTCATCTATTCTTATTTATAAAATGGTTCTTTAACTTGTTACAAGATCATAAGTGTTTCTCTTTTAGTTTATGCTGATCATGTTATTTTATTCTTTTTACTCTGAAACCATCAAATGCTTCTTTCATTTTCTCCTCTGCTTAGCTGCCCCCTCCCACACACACACAAGCCTAGCTTTTGGTGTCTTACTTACAGCAGTGTAACAAAAAAATTATTCCTCATACAGAAGAGATTTTACTAAATAATTTGGGATAAATATTTAAAATGTTCTGATGTACTAGGTGAAAATGCAACAGATTATGTAAAAATCAATATGGCTAATATTATTTGTAAAACTATTTCAATTATGTCTGTTTATGTTAATTATTTCTGACATCTATAACATACTCTTGATTCTTTGTTTAATAAATTAAAGAAATTTACCAAAGTAAAGCATTTCTTATTTAAGTTATCCTATTAAAATATTCAAGTTCAATATTCGGTATCTCATTTGGTTTAACCATTTAAATTATAGAACATTAAACAATCTTTATTTATGAAAGATTGAGATGGACTCTGATAACCAATAAAACATTTTGCTAAGTGTGACTTAAACCCTTAATTGTTTTAAAATATATTTTACTGAAGTTAATTATATTTTCAGATGGCTAACAGTCAAAGGTTACAAAGCCAGCACAATGATTTACTACAAACTGCAATTAAAATCCATTCATTTCTAAAAGCAATGTGCCCATTTTGTACTTGACACTCTTATCCTTTCAAGAAAAATAAATTACAAGTTGCCATGGGTCAGTGATGGGATTCAATTTTTTTTACTACCAGTTCTGTGGGCGTGGCTTGGTGGGCATGGCATGGCTTGGTGGACGTGACAGGGAAGGATACTGAAAAATCTCCATTCCCACTCCGCGCCAGAGAAAGGATACTACAAAATCCTCATTCTCTCCCCACCCCACTAACCTGCTTTCCAGCTCCATTCTCCTGTGAGGGCAACAAAAGAAGACCCAGCCGATCAGCTGGGACTCAGGAGGCAGAGAAGAGATGGGGTCAGGGACAATCAGAGGTGGTATTCCAAACTACTCAAAATTTCCACTACCGGTTCTCCGAACTACTCAAAATTTCCGCTACCGGTTCTCCAGAACTGGTCAGAACCTGCTGAATACCACCTCTGCCATGGGTACATAACTCTTGTACCTTGTGTATTTTTTTTAATCTTAATTAATAATTCTTAGTTATGCATATTAATGGAGAGGAAAAGACTAACTGCATATTGCTTTGCAACAGATCTTTTATAATACTTACTTAATAGATCTTTTATAATACTTACCCCATGGTCTTTTGCAGCCATAACCACTTTAAAAAGAATATCCTCCTCAACAAATGGTCTGACAGCATCATGGATTACTATTATTTCTGGTTTCTGGAGTGGAACACAGAATGTATTGCCTTTTACAAATACTTTCAATCCATTGAAAATAGATCTGTGACGGGTTAGTCCTCCTTCCACTACTGTTGTTCGCTCATGGCCATATTTTCTAATAATAGATTTCATTATTTCAATATTCTCTGGAGAGACCACAACCACAACATCAGAAATCCAGTTGATTCTGTAAGAAATTGAAGAAAATAATATGTCTAAAACTTCCTGGGACTTAATGCTCCTGGGACTTTGTTCTATTTGGAAATAAATATATAGTATAAAATAAATAGCTTCCAAAATTTTGGCTATATATTTATAGGTACGTAGGTTATTTTTAACCATAATACTTTATAAAGAAACAGGACAAATGTTTACTGTATAATACATAATATATATTCAGTGAATATGAAATTGCAGTCTTAATAATATCGTAAGACTATGACTAGAATAGAAAAACCTCTTATAGTCATGACTAACTTATGTTTTACTAATTTTGATAGACATATAATCTCTGTTTTCTAATTGCAGATTTAGGATTCATCTTGTGAGTTTTCCATGAGATTGTTAGTTAAAGAAGTTGCAAGGCAAAGATAAAGTTTAAATTTAAAGCCTACATTAAGGTATTGGCTTAGGATCTAGAGACTCAAATTCCATTCAAATCTGGACCTAACCAAATAATTCAAATTTTCCTAATGCAATCTTTTTAATATTTTCATATTAAAAGCATACTCAAGACTTATATATTCAAACTCTAATACAAAAGGATATTTTAAAATGTGAAGATAAATATTCTACTGGCATAAAATACACATTAAAAATACCTTAGTAACATTTTATCATGCAACTATACATGTTCTCAGATCACAACTGAGTAAAGAAAGAACTGTAGGGTTTTTTTAATTACTAAAACTTTGAATTTGAAAAGGAGATTGAAATACAGTATACCCCATTCTTTCACAAACTTTGTGTTTGTGCACTATTTGTACTAATGCAAGTAGCACAATGCACAAAACATGCTGTTCTTGTCAATTTTACTGACATGGTCAGCAGAAAAGCTGAAAGCATCATCCTGTATGTGGAACTAAGAATGTTGGAACTGACTTGAAGCTAAAGCTGACAAACATTATATCCAACTTCACAAACTGATGTTATCTAAATAGAATATTTTATTTGGCCAAATGTGATTAGACACACAAGGAATTTATCTCCAGTGTAGAAGAACTGCCCAATGTACAGCAGAGCAACAGAGTAATAATAATCATACTACTGCACTAATAATAATAATAATAATAATAATAATAATAATAATAATAATAATA